TGGTGGTGTGTGTGGGTGTGAGTCTGCGGTGGTGTGAGTGTGAGCCTGCGGTTGTGTGTGAGTGGGTGTGAGTCTGCGGTGGTGTGTGGGTGTGAGCCTGCAGTGGTGTGAGTGTGACTGAGTGGGAGCTTGCGGTGGTGTGTGGGTGTGAGTCTGCGGTGGTGTGAGTGTGAGTGGGTGTGAGTCTGCGGTGGTGTGAGTGTGACTGGGTGTGAGAGTGTGGTGGTGTGTGTGACTGGGTGTGAGCCTACGGTGGTGTGGGTGTGAGTCTGCGGTGGTGTGTGAGTGGGTGTGAGTCTGCAGTGGTGTGAGTGTGAGTGGGTGTGAGCCTGCGGTGGTGTGTGAGTCGGTGTGAGCCTGTGGTGGTGTGTGAGTCAGTGTGAGCCTGCAGTGGTGTGTGAGTCAGTGTGAGCCTGCAGTGGTGTGAGTGTGACTGGGAGCTTGCGGTGGTGGGTGTGAGAATGTGGTGGTGTGTGTGACTGGGTGTGAGCCTACGGTGGTGTGGGTGTGAGTCTGCGGTGGTGTGTGAGTGGGTGTGAGTCTGCGGTGGTGTGAGTGTGAGTGGGTGTGAGTCTGCGGTGGTGTGAGAGTGGGTGTGAGCCTGCAGTGGTGTATGGGTGTGAGCCTGCAGTGGTGTGAGTGTGACTGAGTGGGAGCTTGCAGTGGTGTGTGGGTGTGAGTCTGCGGTAGTGTGAGTGTGAGTGGGTGTGAGTCTGTGGTGGTGTGAGTGTGACTGGGTGTGAGAGTGTGGTGGTGTGTGTGACTGGGTGTGAGCCTACGGTGGTGTGTGGGTGTGAGTCTGCGGTGATGTGAGTGTGAGTGGGTGTGAGTCTGCAGTGGTGTGTGAGTGGGTGTGAGTCTGCGGTGGTGTGAGTGTGACTGGGTGTGAGTCTGCGGTGGTGGGAGTGTGAGTAGGTGTGAGTCTGCAGTGGTGTGAGTCGGTGTGAGTCTGCAGTGGTGTGTCAGTGGGTGTGAGCCTGCGGTGGTGTGTGAGTCGGTGTGAGCCTGTGGTGGTGTGTGAGTCGGTGTGAGTCTGCGGTGGTGTGAGTGTGAGTGGGTGTGAGTCTGCGGTGGTGTGAGTGTGAGTGGGTGTGAGTCTGCGGTGGTGTGAGTGTGAGTGAGTGTGAGTCTGCAGTGGTGTGAGTCGGTGTGAGTCTGCAGTGGTGTGAGTGTCAGTGGGTGTGAGCCTGCGGTGGTGTGTGAGTCGGTGTGAGCCTGTGGTGGTGTGTGAGTCAGTGTGAGCCTGCAGTGGTGTGTGAGTCAGTGTGAGTCTGCGGTGGTGTGAGTGTGACTGGGTGTGTCTGCGGTGGTGTGAGTGTGACTGGGTGTGAGTCTGCGGTGGTGTGTGGGACCATGTGTGTCCTGGGAGGCACGGGGCCGGTGCTGCTGCTTACAGAGCTACTTGTCACTGACGTCATTGCTATGGAGGCCCCCAGGGCGGAAGGCAGGTGCACTGCGGGGTCGCCAGCGGGCGGGGTGATGCGCAGGCATGGCGCATGGTGACTGGATGACGTGTTGATGAGGTTGGGGCCGGGGCTGGGGGCTGCACAGGGGCGCCCACTGCTGCCCCGTCCACACCCAGACAGGGGAAGCAGGCACTGAAGAGAACGCTCGCCTTGTGATCTGGGGTCCACTGCGCTGTGTGTGCCCACCTCTGCATCTTCGCGGTTCTTCAACAAGAGGCACTGAAAACCAGAGTAGGGCTCAGGGCCGGGGGACTCCCTCCCGGAACCAGGCGCTCCTCCGGGAGGAACTGCGGTTCCACCTGCCAGCCTTCCAGCCAGTGCTTTGTTTCAGCGCCCAGGTCTTCAGGTCTCCCTTCCCCGCCTCTGCCTGCTCCTTGTTTTATGGTGGCTTTTCGTGGTTTCCTGAGAGCCTTGCTGCTCTGGTTTCTCAGAATCCATTACTTAGATGTTTTTTTTGTTTTGTTTTTGTTTTTGTTTTTTTGAGACAGAGTCTCGCTCTGTTGCCCAGGCTGGAGTGCTGTGGCACCATCTCGGCTCGCTGCAAGCTCTGCCTCCCGGGTTCACGCCATTCTCCTGCCTCAGCCTCCCCAGTACCTGGGACTACAGGCGCCCGCCACCATGCCCAGCTAATTTTTTGTATTTTTAGTAGAGACGGGGTTTCACCGTGTTCGCCAGGATGGTCTTGATCTCCTGACCTCGTGATCCGCCCGTCTCGGCCTCCCAAAGTGCTGGGATTACAGGCGTGAGCCACTGCGCCCGGCCGTCCCCCTGTTACTTAGGTTTTATTTCTTTTCTCTCCTGGCCCTGAGTCATTCACCCCTAGTTTTGTTTTCTCTTTTATCCAGGTGTTTCCCTCAGCCCACGCTCACATGCACACGCGTGCCTGTGCCACCCTTTTCTTCACATTACCCAGCCCTGCCCTGAAGCTCTGCCTTTCAGGGAAACTCTGTCCGCATCGGCCCCCTGGTGACATCCGTGGAGGACACACGTGGTTGTAGATGCTTGTGTGGTCACCTCCAGCAACTGTGTCTCACATCATGGGGACCACCCACCCTCTCCAAACACAAGTGGGAGGAGAGGACCCACTTGCTGCCCCTTGGGGACAGCAGGTGGCTGGCTGAGTTGGGTGGAGGGTGGCACTGGGTGGTCTTCTCTGGGGTGTGGGACTGCAGGGCTCCTCCTGGGACCCGAGTCTTCAGCTGTGTTCTAACATGGAATCCAGGGCGTCATGGATGGGACCATGTTGCTCCAGAAATTCCTTCCTCTGGAGCTTCTTGGCTCTGAAGACGTGGGGGGCCTTCCACAGAAGTGGGGGGTCTCCTGGAAAAGTGGGGGTCCAGGAGCAGTGAGCAGCTGCCGTGATACAGCCGCTGCCGGTCACCACCCTGGGCCCCACGCCGCAGGCAGGTGCTCAGCGCAGAAGCCGTGCTGGTGCGGGCAGACCGGAAGGCGGTAGCAAGAAGTTAAGCGTGGAGTCTCCCCACGTCCTGTGCCCCGCTGTCTGGGCTGCTGCCGAGAGTCTGCGTGTCAGGTGAGGACAGTGCCAGCTGGAACCGCCAGGGACCAGCTCTGGCTGTCAGATGTTTAATTTTAATTTTGCTTCTCTACAAAGACAGCAGCTTTAGGAATCAGGCTTGGGTTGAGAAAGAGAAAGCACCTCCAATCCCCAAAGCTCTCCTTCTGCATCAGAGATGCTGTGAGGATGCGAGGCTGGGGTGGCTCCTCGGAGCCTCCGGAAGGGGCGTCATCAGCCCTGTCCCACCTCCAAGGAGTTGCCTGCTCCCCGGGTGGTTTTAGCAGCAAATTTTTTTCTTTTCTTTTAGACAGGGTCTCACTCTGTCGCCCAGGCTGGAGTGCAATGGCGCAATCTCAGCTCACTACAACCTCTGCTGCCCAGGTTCAAGCGATTCTCCTGCTTCAGCCTCCTGAGTAGCTGGGATTACAGGCACCTGCCACTGCGCCCAGCTAGTTTTGTTGTATTTTTAGTAGAGATGGGGTTTCACCATCTTGGACGGGCTGGTCTTGTACTCCTGACCTCGGGATACACCTGTCTCAGCCTCCCAAAGTGCTGGAATTACAGGCGTGAGCCACTACGCCTGTAATTTATTACTTCTTTTATTTTTCTTTTTTCTTTTTTTTCTTTTGAATTTTAAAGATCAGATTTATTTGGAGAAAGCAAAAAACACACAACCCAAAGATGGGATTTTACATCTAAGACAAATCCCAGATTACAATCTACAGATTACAAATCCCAGATTACAATCTACAGATTATGAACCACTTTCATAGAAGATATTTTTGTACACATTTTACATGTATTCAGGAGTGGGATGTACATCCGTCTCTATTTCAGTTTTAACAGAGGGACAAGGTTGGGGAGTGGAATCTTTTTGTTTTTAAGGTAAAACACGACAGAACTCGCACATTCAGGGGCACGGTTCTGTGGCACTGGCTCGTTCACAGTGTCGCCCAGCCACCGGCGTCTAGTTCCAGAGCACTTTTGTCACTCCAGGGGAGACCTACAAGCATTGCCCCTCTTCTGGGAGGCCCTGGGGACAGGGCTGCATGCTCATTCCCAACGCCTGCGACAGTCCTGCCAGCAGAGCTGTGCTCACTCCACTGAGGGGCGGGCGCTGGAGGGACCGAGTGGGCATGACCCCTGCCCCAGTGTTCAGATGGAGCCCCAAGGGGCTGGTAGTCTGGGCATGGGGTGGGGAGGGGAGGCCAGGCTGGGGGAGGCTGTGCAGGGTCCGGGGCCTGGACTGGGGGCTGGAGAGGGGCAGTCGCCAGAGAGAGGATGGTTGGCCAAGCTGAGAGCAGGGGCAGGAAGTCTGTCCAGGAGGCAGCCAGGGGTGAGTGGGGCAGAGACTGCCAAAGGTACTGTGAGGCGGGACCTGGATTCCGTTCCTGATCAGACCGGAGCCAGATGTGGATGAGAGGCCAGGGGGCCTGTAGGTGCGGCCAGTGACCCTGGCCTCGTGCGTTCTGCACCTGAAGCCTCAGGCCTCTGCTGGGCAGTGCCTTCCCCCTGCTCCACCCCTCAGCCCACGCTGCCAGAGCCTCCCCTCCTGGCCACCTTCCCTGCCCCATATCAAGTGCCAGACCAGCTGCCTGCACAGACCTCAAAGGCAGGTGCACCCCTCACCCCAGCCAGACCCACAGGCTCCTCCTTGAGCTGCCGGTGTCACGCTGGGGGTCCTGCCGGCTGATCCTCCCACCCCTCAGATGTGGCATCCCCCACGCTGAGGCAGGACACGGAAGCCAGCTCAGGGTTGATTGTTCCAGTGGCAAAGCCATAAGGGATGGAGTCACACAGGCTGGGACGGGAGCCGCGGGGACGCTGGCTGAGAGGAGGAGGGTCCCGGGGGCGGCAGCCGCGCCATGGTCTCCACACGGGCCGGGCACTGGTGCCTGCTGCCCTCGGTCCCCAGAAGCCGGGACTGGAGTGGAGCCTCCTGGAGACCCTCAGGGAGGCAGGTGGGTGCTTCTGGGCATCACGGGGAGGGCACTGAGGGGAAGTGAGCAGGATCTTTCTGGAAGGGGGCTGAGGAGGAGGGGCAGGGCCTGTGATTTCGGAGTGGGGGACTCTGCGGAGGGGCTCCCGGTAGTGGCTGAGGCTTTGGGGCCCGTCCCCACCTGGACTCCAGCCGCCCCTCCGCGTGCTCACGCCGGGTCCCTGGGACTCTCGAGCGCAGGTCCGGCCGGGGCCGCCGGGGCCAGCACGAGGCTCTCAGTGGGCTGCGGGCTGCAGGAAGACAGGGAGCGGCCGGAGCCGCGCTGGAAGCGGACGCGGGGCTGCAGGGAGGGAACGGGCCCCCGGACTGCGCCGCTGCCCGGGCTCCGCACGCGGCCGCGTAGGTGGTCGCGGTAGTTCCTGGTGAGCAGCGTGTAGAGGAAGGGGTTGGCGCAGCTGTTGCCGTAGGTGAGGCAGGTGGTCAGGTAGTTGACGATGCGCGCCGTCCGCGGCGCCAGCGGGGCCTCGCGGTACTGGGCGAGCAGCTGCCACAGCCAGAAGGGCAGGAAGCAGGCCCAGAAGAGCAGCACGATGCCCAGCACCAGGCGCAGCGCGCGCGTCCCCGGCCGCCGGGCCCGCTTGAAGGAGGCGCGCTGCGAGCGGCGGTAGGCGCGGGCCAGACGCGCGTAGAGTAGCCCGATGAGCAGCCCGGGCCCCGCGATGCTGGTGGCGAAGAGCAGCGTCAGGTAGGCGCGGTGGGCGCGCGGGCCCCAGGCGGGCAGGCACAGGCTCTTGGGGCCCCGGCGCACCAACCGCATGGCCAGCATCACGGGCAGCGTCAGCAGCAGCGCCAGCAGCCAGGTGCCCAGCGCCAGCAGCTTGCGGTAGCCCTTGGGGCGCTGCACGGTGTCCAGCGGCCGCAGCACCGCGGCGTAGCGCTCGCTGCTCATGACGGTCAGCGTGAAGATGCTGGCGTGCATGGTCAGGAAGTCCAGGCTGAAGAGCACGCGGCAGCCCACATCCCCGAAGTGCCACTCCTTGGTGATGTAGGTGGCCACGATGAAGGGGATGCTGAGCAGGTACAGCAGGTCAGCCAGCGCCAGGTTGACCACGTAGATGTACATGGAGGCCACGGCGCGCAGGGAGCGGCAGGTGACCACCAGCGTGTAGGCGTTGCCCACCACGCCCACCACGCCCATGGCTGACAGCAGAGTCCCAATGGCACCTGTGGCCACCAGGTCCTCCAGGGAGCTGGGCTCCGTCGGGCTGGCCCAGGAGCTGTTGAGGGTTGTGTTGGGGCTGCCAGGTGGCTCCCGCACAGAGCTGCCCGTGGCGGCCAGTCCAGGGAAGCTGCTCGGGGACTCGGGGGTCAGCGCCATCTCTGACCGCTCAGGATCGGCTCAGGGCTGGGTGGTCACTCCCTGAGATGGGGCGCGGGCACCTGTGGGCAACCAGCTCAGCCTGTGGGGAAAGAAGCCTGTTAAAGATGCAAGTCAGGCAACCCATTCTGCTCCCAGGAGGCCATTGTGACGGCCGTTCCCACAGAGTCACGTGGGCCCCTCACTGCCCTCTGGCTCCTGGGGACTCTCTGGAAGTCACCAGCTCTGCAGGAGGACTCGAGTGCCACCAGACGAGCCACCCTAACCTCCCTCCCCCACCCCCACATGCCCCAGCAGGACCCCTGCCCCCGCCTCACTGTAGGTCCTGTGGCCTCTGGGATGGACTGGGCTTTTCTGAAAGCTGGAACACAGGAGGTCAGCCCCTGGGGCAGAGGTCGGCAGTGGACAGAGCTGGGAGTCCTGGGCTCTGCCTGCCCGCCCAGTGCACCCCCCAGGCCTCATTTTCTTATCTGTGCACGGGTGGGGCCCACTTACCCCAGAGTCCTTTCTCGTTTTTTATTTCACTTGTACATTTTTAAAAAGTTTTCTTCAGACTGCAAAACTAGTAGCTACTGACTTTAAAAGTCCAAATAGAAAAACATGTAAAGTAAGGAGAGGGAGGGCTCTGCAATCTCCATTTCTCATACAGGGAAATGAATTCGAGATGGATTGCAGGCCTAAGTATGAAAGGTTAAATCAATCAGTCAAGGTTCTGGAAGAAAACGGGAATACTGGCATGACCTTGGATGGGAAAAGATTTCTTAAAAATGAACAAAAATACTTGCAATAAAAGATTGAGCAAATGGGTTTCATTAAAATTAAGAACTTTACCAAGAAAGCGAAATCATAAGTCACAGGCTAGGAGATCATCAGAAAACATATATCAGGCAGGTTGCAGTGGCTCACGCCTGTAATTCCAGCACTTTGGGAGGCCAAAGCAAGTGGATCACCTGAGGTCAGGAGTTCAAAGCCAGCCTGACCAACATCTCGAAACCCCGTCTCTACTGAAAATACAAAAATTAGTCGGGCGTGGTAGCACATGCCTGTAATCCCAGCTACTCGGGAGGCTGAGGCAGGAGAATTGTTGGAACTCGAGAGGTGAAGGTTGCAGTGAGCCAAGATTGAGATTGTGCCACTGCACTCCAGCCTGGGCAACAAAGTGAGACTTTGTCTCAGAAAAAAAAAAGAAAGAAAGAAAGAACATAGACAAAAAGCTGGTAAGAAAAATATAGAGAAGAACTGCAAATTAGTAAGGAAAAGACAACCCATTTGAAAAAAAGAGACCAAAACTGTGACTGGAGACTCCCCAAAAAGGACACCCACACGGCCAACAAGCAGGGAAATGCCAGTCATGGCCACAGAAGCCCCTGCGTGATGACAAAGACGAAGGTGTGAAAAGGCAGACATCGTTGTCAACAGGCATGGGGGCTGCAGAGGAGCTGGCCCCACCGTGTGCTGTTGCTGGGAACCTGGACTGCGCTTCCGCTTTGGAAAACCATTGGCAAGACTTGCAGAGTTGACCGCCTAGACCTTCTCACCCGGCAATTCCACTCTTAGGTTTGTACCTTAGATAAAGGACTGCCAATGTCCAGAAAATGTCAAGTGTGCGAAAGTTCACAGCAGCTTGACTCCTAAGAAGCCGGAAACAGCTGGAATGTCCCCAGTGGAGGGGGCAGGCACACTGTGACATGAAGCCAGTGAAGAAGGAGTCACCGCTGAGGTCAGCAGCCTGGACGAAGCTCGCAGAGCTGTGGGGCAGAAGAAACACAGGAGGCTGCCTGATTCCACGAGCCACGCTTGAATTTAGGCCGAACACTCATGGCCGCACAGGGAGCAGTCTTGGCTGGGATGGGGCGGCATCAACAGGTGGGAGCGCTGGGGGCCTTCCAGGGCCTGGAAATGTGCCCTGCCCCCGCTTTCCCACTAGGCTGGGTAGCTCCCCGCCCAGTTCCATCTGTCCAGAGGACCCTCAACCCGTTGCTGCCCCCACCCGGGGCATTTCCAGAGCCCTCACCAAGGGAATGGCCCAGAAGCCCGGGGGGGGCACCGGGCTCCCCAGTTGTGCGCGAACCCGAGTCACGGGTAGGGGGACAGTGGACGCCGGGCCGTGCTCCAGGGTCGCCAGGAGGGAAGGGGAGGGGCCCAAAGTTCCCTGGCTCGGGAGAAGCCGCCTCGTTGGACCCCACTCCCAGCGCCCAGGGTGGGGTCCCACCGCGAAGCCCCGGCCCAGCCCCGCGGAGGGCCCCGAAGGGCACAGGCCCCGCAGTCCCCGCGCGCTCCCGGGCACCCACGGAGAACCCACCTGCCTCCGGTCACGGAGCCGCCAGACCTGCCCGCCGAGCCTGGGGTCGCGCGTCGGGGCGGCCGCGGGGAGCTTTCAGAGGCGCGCTCCCCTGTCCCGGAGCAGAGGGGGCGCGAGGGGCTCCGCGGTGGCCTCGACTCCCAGAGCGCACGGCAGGGGCGCCCGCCAGTCCCGCCACCAAAGCCGCGCCCCGAGCCCCGCGCCGGGTCCCTGCGCCGCCGCCACCTGCCCGCCGCCAGCTGGGAATGCGCCGCGGCCCCGCGCCAGCGCCCGGTATTAAAATAGCCCCAGCGGGCAGCAGGCGCGGGGAGGACGGCGCGGGGGCCTGGGGGGCGGCGCTGCCCGCGCGGGGCCGGGAAGACGCGGGGGGCGCGGGGCCGCAGCCGGGTCGGCGAAGGGTCCCAGGCGGGTCTCACGTCCGCGGAGCGAAGCTGCCTCCAGCCCCGCTGCCCCGAGGCCGGCCCCGCAGCCCCTCTTGGGTTCTCCGCCTCCAGCCTTCGCCCCTGCGCCCCTCACGCCCGTGTTTTCAGGGCAGGGAGCCTGGAATTCTCCGTGTCCGCCAAGCCCTGCACCCGCCGCGCGCAGGTGGGGGGCGGGAACACCCCTACACCCCGAGAGGGTCATAGAAAGGAGGTAGGGGAGGGATGGAGTCACCCACGCAGAGGGGGACGGGCTCTTTGGGGGCCTCGACGACCCCTGCCTCCATTGCGGGTCTCCCACAGATGCTCTTAGAAGCCCACGCAGCCTCTCCAGGCCCCGGCAGGGACTCGGGGCGGCCACATCCACGGAAGTGACACTGGGGGCTGCAGGGCCCCGCAGGGTAGGAGGAAGGACCCCACGGCCTCACCCTTGAGCCCCTGAGCTGGGTGCTGGCCCCCACTCGGTTCACTCGCTGCCAGGAGGTAGGATGCGGCCGTCACTCATGCTGGACCACTGAAAGAAAGACACAGAACATCGATAAAATTAGAGGAGACGCTGGAGGGCTGTGAACACAGGGGGTCTAAGGGACCCCCAGCGAGGAGCTGGCCTCGCCCACTCCACTCCGCCCGGGCTCCTCTGCTGCCTGAGGCCGTGGACCGGCCCCTACAGCTGAAGCGGTTCTGCGGGGGGAGAGGAGGTGGCCAAGTGTGAGTGGCAGAGAGGCTCCTGCAATGAGCTGGAGCCGGGGGAGCCCCAGATGCCCACCAGTCCCCTCCGTGGGCCGTTTGCCACGTGCTGGGGAGGCCAGGCTGGGCTGGAGAGGGCGGGAAAAGTCCCTCTGGTCTCCGAGGTCCGCTGGGCAGAGCGAGGGTCCAGCAGTAGGACAGTTCGTTCTTGTGGGCTGAAAACAGCCGAACGGAAACCAACGGCAGCTGCAGCTTCTGACCCGACAGGGGAGCAGCTCATCCTGCCTGTGCGCCCGAGAGGAGATGGAAGGTTGCCTCCGACCTGACGGTTCTGTGAGAGCTGATTACTAAGCTGGGGTCTAGGGGCTGGGGCTGGGGAAAAGCACTCAGGACCCAGAATGCCTGCTCCAGGAATTAAATTTCCCACAAGCCAGCTTCCGAAATGACCTGCTGTCACCTCAGCCAGTTCACCGAGTAGCTGCTGAAATGACCTGCCCTGACTCTAACCCCGGGTTTTTGTTTTATGTTTTTGTTGTTGTTGTTGTTGTTTTCTTAGATGGAGTCTCGCTCTTTCACCCAGGCTGGAGTCGCAGTGGTGTGATCTCGGCTCACTGCAACCTCCACCTCCCAGGTTCAAGCGATTCTCCTGCCTCAGCCTCCCGAGCAGCTGGGATTACAGGCACCTGCCACCACACCCAGCTAATTTTTGTATTTTTACTAGAGATGGAGTTTCATCTTGTTGGCCAGGCTGGTCTCAAACTCCTGAGCTCAGGTGATCTGCCCGCCTCAGCCTCCCAAAGTGCTAGGATTACAGGCGTGAGCCACGGCGCCTGGCCTCCAATGCTGGTTTTACCACCGAGGCCACTCGCCAGAGTTTGCCAGTTCCCCAGAACTACCAGGGCCAATGGGCTTCCTTTCAAAGCAATAGAAAACATTTCTCTTTCCAATAGAATTCCAATTTTCTTTTGTTCTTGAACATACCGAATTGAAATTCTTCCTAAAATTGAACATTAAAGATTTGTATATTTTATTTTGACTTTGACAGTTGCTATGTACAAAATGCTTCAGCAAGGAAATAATAATCTGATTATTATTTATATCACATCTCATGTCATCCATAATTGATAGGGAAAAATAGCCAATAGAAGCAGGTCTATATGTGACACAAGTATTGAAATTAGCAGACCAGGAGTTTCTATTTTACAAAAACTATTATAAATATGGTAAAGCAAGCAGAAGAACCTGGGCAACATGGATGAGAAGATGGAAATTTTCACCAGAAAATGGGAGTGTATTTATTTATTTGAGACAGGGTCTCGCCCTAAAGTCTAGCCTAGGCTTGCCCAGGCTGGAGTGCAGTGGCATGATCATGGCTCACCACAGCTTTCTTTGACTTCCTATGCTCAAGCAATTCTCCTACCTCAGCCTCCTGAGTAGTTGGGACTACAGAGGTGCACTGCTACACTACACTCAGCTAATATTTGTATTTTTTGTAGAGACGAGTGTCACCATGTTGCCCAGCCACTATGCCCAACCCCATTTGACTCTTTTATTAGAAATTCCCAGGCTGGGCACCGTGGCTCACCCGGTAATCTCAGCACTTTTTTTTTTTTTTTTTTTTGAGATGGAGTCTCGCTCTGTCACCCAGGCTGGAGTGCAGTGGCGTGATCTTGGCTCACTGCAACCTCCACCTCCCAGGTTCAAGCAATTCTCTGCCTCAGCCTCCCGAGTAGCTGGGATTACAGGTACGCACCACCACACCCGACTAATTTTTGTATTTTTAGTAGAGATAGGCTTTCACTATCTTGGCCAGGCTGGTCTTGAACTCCTGACCTTGTGATCTGCCCACCTCGGCCTCCCAAAGTGCTGGGATTACAGGCATGAGCCACCAGGCCCGGCCAATCCTAGTACTTTTCAAAACTGAACGCAGGAGGATCGCTCGAGTCTAGAAGTTTGAGACCAGCCTGGGCAACATAGTGAGACCCCTCATTTCTATTTATAAAGAAAAATTTTAAATGGTGAAGGAACTAATGTATACAGTGGTCCGTTTCCAAGACAAAGTGCCTTGAATCGGCTTAGGTCAGCAAACTACAGAAGAACAGGATATACTAGGCCCCAGCTTGGATAGCGGATGCCTGCTTGTCGGCCTCACCCACTCCCCTCTTAAACCCCTCTTAGTTGCCCTCACCCAAATCAAAGAAGTTTAAGATGAAAGTTTACTAGCCTGCAAAATAGCTTGTTTGGTATGTTCTTATCAGCCTGCCCAGCTACTTGGGTCATAAGTCAGATACTTAAAGAGCCCCTGAGCTGACTAGGATTGCAATGCATTGTGGGCTGCAACAAAATGCAGCAGGACAACCCTAAAGAAAACACCTACAGCCTCTGCCCAACAACCAATAGGTGACATCTGGGAAGACTGTGACCCCACAGTACCCAGCCTATGAGGAAGCGGGGGCGGGACCTGCACCCTCCAGCCCCTGCCCAATAACCAATCAGTGATGTCTGGGAAGACAGTGACCCCCCCCCCACCACAGTACCCAGCCTATGAGGAACCTGGGGCAGGACCTGCACCCTCCAGCCCCTGCCCAATAACCAATCAGTGATGTCTGGGAAGACTGTGACCTCATAGTACCCAGCCTATGAGGAACCTGGGGCGGGACCTGCGCCCTCCAGCCCCTGCCCAACAACCAATCAGTGACCTCCCCCACAGTACCCAGCCTATGAGGAACCTGGGGTGGGACCTGCGCCCTCCAGCCCCTGCCCAATAACCAGTAGGCGACAGGTGAGAAGACAGTGACCTCATAGTACTCAGCCTATGAGGAACCAGGGGAGGGATCTGCGCACTAGGGGATAAATTGCTTGTTGAAACTTCTGGGTGTGCCTGCCCACCAGACACCCGATCTTGCAAGACCGTCATTAAAAGTCTGGCTTTCGTGGTTCTCCAGGTCCCTGAGTCCATTCTTTGGATTTGAATGGATGAGTTTGTTTCTCACAAGGGTCAAATGGACATTTTATAACTTTAAAAGTACAGTATCTAAAATTCAGAAATCATAGCAGAAGAAAGAATCAGTTAACTTATAGGTAGGTCAATAGAAATTATCCAGACACAGAAAGAGAAAAGAATGAAAAATAGAAAAGCATGTGGAACCACACCATCAAATGATCTGACCTACATGTCCCTGGAGTCCCCAGAACAATGACAGGAAAATGGGGCAGGAGCAGTATCTGAAAAGGCAGTGGCTGAAATTTTCAAAATTGACAAGCAGTGTCAACTGATAGACATTAGAATTTTAGTAAATCACAAGCAGGAAAAAACTAAAAGCAAACCACTCCAGCACATTACAGTAAAAAATTCTGAAAACCAAAAGTAAACAGAAACTGCAAAAATTATTGAGATTAAAAAAAAAAGACAGTACATTCAGGGAATAACAATAGGAGAGATGGCTAGATCTCCTCAGAAAACCATGGAAACCAGAAGAGAATGACCTCTTTAAAGTACCAAAATAAAGGATTTTAACCAATAATTTATGTACGATAAAATAAAGATATTTTCAGACAAAGCTAAGAACATTTGTGGCAGCACAAAAAATACTAAAGGAGTCCTCCAGGCTTTCCTTCTGCTGACAGAAAACGACCCCAGATAGAAACTCGGAAGTGCGTGGAAAAATGAAGTGCACCAGGAAAGTAAATATGTTTGTAAATTAAAAATATGAGGACTGTCACTTTGGGAGGCCAAGGCGGGCGGATCACGAGGTCAGGAGATCAAGACCATCCTGGCTAACACGGTGAAAGCCCGTCTCTACTACAAATACAAAAAAATGAGCCGGGCGCGGTGGCGGCGCCTATAGTCCCAGTTACTCGGGAGGCTGAGGCAGGAGAATGGCGTGAACCTGGCAGGTGGAGCTTGCAGTGAGCTTAGATTGCACCACTGCACTCCAGCCTGGGTGACAGAGCGA